TTTCCCTGTGCGTAAATAACTAGGGTAAAGCTCAATTTATAAATTAGGCACAGTAAATGATTAACAACTATAATAAAAATAGAACAATTATAACAATATACTGTAATAAAAATTATGCAAGTGTGGTCTCTCTCCCTCTCTCTCAAAATATCTTATTGTATGTAATATTTTCAGATCATGGTTGCTGTGAGCAACTGAAATGCTGGAAAGAGAAACCATGCATAAAGGGGGACTATGTACAAGCCAACTGCAGGGCTCTAGTGGATATGGACTAGTTGAGGTAGGAGGATGGGGATGTCAGTAAGGCCGCCTAAGATGAGAACTGAAGGATGAGGAAAAATAAACCAGATGAAGAGGGTCACAGGGAAATGTTACATGTACAAGGCACAGTGTGTGTCGAGGACTGAAAAGTGAGCGACACTATTGGGGAATTGCCCATCAGTGCGGATCAAGCGCGTGATGCTGAGTGGTATGTATGAAAGGGTAGGTGTGGGAGGGAGTATATGTACATGGGCTGTCTGTGTATGTGGTATGTGTATATGAATGGAATGGTGTGCACATGTGTGTAGTATGTTGTGTGTATATGGTATGGTGAGGTATGTGTGTTTGTGTGTGCTTGTGTCTTGGTCAACTTGGGCTACCATAACAAAATGCCATAGATTGGGTGGCTTGAACGACAGACATTTATCTTAGTTTAAGTGCCTGAGAAGTCCAAGATCAAAGCTTCTTCCTAGTGTGCAAATGGCTACCTTCTCACCATCGTCACATGATGGAGAGAGCGCTATGGTTTCTTTTTCTTCTTATAAGGACACTAATCTCATCATGGGAGCCCCACTCTCATGACCTCTCTAAACCTCTAAATTATCTCCCAAAGGCCCCACTTCCAAATACCATCACATTGAGGGTTATGGATTCAACATGTAAATTTGAGAGGGGACACAAACAGTCCATAGCAGCATGTTACTAAGAGAAACAAGGGGCTGGGATGTGAAGAGTTGTAGAAATCAGTAGGTCATGCCCTGACTCTCTACTTTAACACTAGATTCTGCCCAAACTGTGAAGGCAGTTTGTCCTTCAGGGAGATTTTTTAAAGTATCATAGAAATCCAGCTATTTTACAATTTTCCCTTGATAAATTTTCCTCTAGGTGAAGACTCCTTTATTGACTCAGAGTTCCTAGGGATGATCCAGTTCAGTTCATTTGTGTTTTCTGATGATAGAGCTTGGATGGAGAGAAGGGCTTTTCCAGGAGCAGCTGGAATGGTGACCGGCACTCAGACCTCCAGAGCCTCAATCCTCAATTTTTCTATTCTCCTGTCAATAGCGCTGGAGTCAGAAGTAAAATGATTTAATTAAATCAACACTTGACGCTAAAGAAGTAGCAAAAATACTTACATAAAGTTCTACTAAACAGTACTCCATTTTATATTTTTAAATAGAAAATGCTCCATGAGTTGAGCACTTTTCATAGTGAAATAATCCAATTTCTTATTTTCCTTTTTCTATACAGCAAGATGAGTGACTCTATCATTTTAGCAGCAGTTCTATCCTTCCAACAACCCATCAGCAGCTGGCCAAGGTTTGTATCTTTAGGAAAAAAGATAAGTGCAATATGGCAACTATTTTTTGGCCTTGTTTAAATTACTGAGTTAGAATAGACTGAAAGAAATGCTGATTATCCATCTGGGAACAAGTTTGGGCCACAGACCAGGCTTAGACAATCTCTTACTCACCAAAAAAAAACTTGGTAATTCTGCAAAATTAAGCTTAAAGTTCTGGCAATAATGGGAGAAACATGCTCATTGCTCTATGGAAAACAATCAAGTTTTCCTTTGAGATGATAATACCAGGAACCTAACCATAAAATAATCAATCTCAAGTAGCTTATTCACCAATGACTCTGATAAAATGCTTTGTGAGCCTGAGCCAAGGAGTCTCAGTCATGCGAGCAGAGAAGAATTGGATTTCTGTCTTTCTTCCTTCACCCCCAGGGCTGGTGAAAAAACTTCAGCTTAGTGACAGTTATACTTGATGTCAAACTAAGAGTTAAGAGAGTTGTCTAGGAGACTTATTGTTAGAGTTACACATTATCCAAGCAAGGCTTGAGACTTACAGAGACCAGGAAGGCCAATTGCAGTGTGAAGACCATTTTTCTATTTCTCCTTCATTCCTGGGACTTCAGTTTCCCTTTATTAAAATGGATATAATATAGTCTTCTTATAAGTCTTTTAAGCTAATCAAATAGATCAAGATTAGGCTGTTTTGGAAAAAAATCCACATTGTAGTGAGTCATGTTTTATTTGGTCACCTTCTTTTCTTTTTTTAAATTTTACAATATTATGGAGGTACAGACACTTCAGTTATATGTAGTGCCCTTGCACCCCCTGAGTCAGAGCTACAAGTGTACCCATTCCCCAGATAGTGTGCACCGCACTTGTTAGGTGTGAATTTACTCATACCTTCCTCCCCACTCCTACCTGCCCCACACCCAATGAATGTTACTTCCATATGTGCACATAAGTGTTGATAAATTAATGCCAATTTAATGATGAGTACATGTGGTACTTGTTTTTCCATTCTTGTGATACTTCACATAGAAGATTGTGTTCCAACTCCACCCAGGATAATACAAGAGGTTCACCATTGCTTTATATGGCTGAGTAGTACTCCATGGTATACATATACCACATTTTCTTAATCTACTCATGTATTGATGGGCACTTGGATTGTTTCCACATGTTTACAATTGTGAATTGTGCTGCTATAACCATTCTAGTGCAGATGTATTTATTATAGAATGTCTTTTTTTCCCTTGGGTAAATAACCAGTAGTGGGATTGCTGGGTCAAGGTGGTCGCCTTCTGTGATGCTTGTTTGGTCTGGCCTGGCAGCCTCCATCCCACCTCCAATGCACACACATACACACACACACACACACACACACACACATACACACACACACACTCTACTATCCTAGTGTTAGAGAGGCACACAGTGACGCTAACCATACCACTTTGTACTATCATCCAAAGAAACTCGAGACAAATGGGACTATATCCTTTTAATCATAGGACATAAATAATGTTTTTTTTTAATTAAAAATTATATTTTATTAAATTTAAAATGTTTTTTCTTTTAAGATGCACTATTTTATGAACCACTAGAAGAGAAAATCTGCTTCCAATTAAACTGAGACATAGTGCTTTATGTTTTTATTTCTGTCAATCTCGCTAAAGGATCATCTATTTTATTGATTTTTTAAAGAATCAACTTTTGTTTCATCTATTTTATCTTTTGTTTTCCTATTTTCAGTCACATTCATATCTGTTCTTTATTAGTTTTCTTCCTTCTGCTTGCTTCAGATGTATTTTGCTCTTCTTTTTCTAGTTTCTCAATGTAGGAACTTAGATTATTGACTTAAGACCTTTTGTCACTTCTAATATAAGTATTTAGTGTTATAAATTTTCCTCTAAGCACTGCATTAGATGTGTCTCACATATTTAGACACTTTGCTTTGAAATTTTTGCTCAGTTCTATATATTTTTAAATTTCCTTTGATACTTTTTCACCCAAGGATTATATAGAAGTGGCTTGGTTAATTAATTGGATTTAGAGACTTGCCTATTGCCTTTCTGTTATTGGTTTTTAATTGATTTGATTATGGTCAGAAAACACCCTTTGTATGATTTCAATTCTTTTACATTTCTTGATTTGTTTTATGTCCCAGGATATGGTCTATCTTGATTAATTTTCTGTGGGTGCTTGAAAAAACTTGTTTTCTGCTGTTGGTGGTGGCATGTTTTAAATATATCAGTTGGAACCCATTGGTTGATTGTATTGTTTGGATTTTCGATATTTTTGCTGGGTTTTTATCTAGTAGTTCTATTAGTTTCTACAAGGTGGGAACTGAAGTCCCCAACTATTAATATAAATGTGGATTTATTTACTTCTCCTTTCAGCTCTATCAGCTTTTACTTCATGTATTTTGAGGCCTGTTGTTTGGTATGTGCACACTTAGGTACTTTGCATCTTGGTTAGATGACCTCGTATTTCCTAGATAGGCCCAGGATATCAAAACATTTAATTATGATGATACCACTCCAATTAATTTTATCTTATTATGAGATGAATTGCAGAGCTTGAAGTTACACAGATCTGGGCCCAGAAACATGTAATTAAGACACTTTTAGGAAAATGAGTAGGCATGCCATAGGCTGGGAAGATATGTTAGCAGTATGATAAAGGTCATGTATATTTAAAGAACTACAAATCCACAATAAAAGGACATAGAGCCTAATTTTGAGAATGGGCAAAAGACTCAATACACACTTCACAAAAGAAGATATATGAATGACCATTAAATACATGAAAAGTTTTCAACATTAGTTATCAAGGAAGTAGAAATGAAAATCATAAGATACCATTTCACACCTACTACTACACAGACTAAAGTACAAAAGACAATGCTAAATGTTGGGCAAGAATATGGAGCCACTGGAACTTGTATATAGCAAGTGGAAATGGAAATGGTAGAACCACTTTGGAGGACTATTCAGAAGTTTCTTATAAAGTTAGGAAACTTTATAAGACCCATCAATCCCACTGATAGTCCATTCACACACAAGCCTGAGCACTTGCATTTTGGTTTCCCTGCTCCCATATTTTCCATATTTTAGTGATACTATCCTCATTTCCCCCTATTGTTTCACATCCTCAATGAATTCTTCCCAATTAACCATAAGGAGACTCATTTTGTTTACATTCATTCTAGAAGGTATATATGTGATGACAAAAAATAAAAATAATTTAGTATTAGATGTTTATTTTGCCAAAATAAGATGGTAACTACTATCTTGATGACTGTTGATGTTAGCTATATGTCAAAGGTAACAATGAAAATGGAACATATGCTTACATAAAACAATATTTGGATTTTAAATTTTGTTTCATGTACCAAATAATTCATAGCCTTCTTTAACAACAGAATGAAAGCCACATCATAGTCATTTGAAAAGTTCATTTATTATATACCAATATACACTCTCTGTAATAAAAAAACCTCCCAATACATTGAACCATCTTATAAATGAAATAAGAAAATAAAATTTTTATCTGTTTACAAATGGGGTTAAATTAATCAGCACAAGATACCATATGTATGTCTGCCTTGCAGTTTATGTGAACTCTATTCCTGAAAATGGCCATGAGAAAAAATGATGCATTCTTATTTGGCACTATTGTATTGCTCTTGAATATTTATATAATTACACATGATATTTTCAAGTTAGTAATTTTAAATGCATTCAAAATATATACAGAGTTTACAGTTTTCCATTTTGGGAGATTGATCATTAATATTTACACTTAAATATGCCTCAATTAAATGTTTTTGACATTCAGAAATATTTTTTTCTACTTTCTATTTTGATACACTCTTTAGAAGAATGAAAATGGAAATATATCTTAAAGATGATATTTGGCAATTTTTTCCCAGATAATGGTAACTCAAAAGTTATGATATTTTCTAGCAATGCTCAATTTCCACAGCAAAGTGCATCATTTTATAGTATTGTGCCTCTAGAAAATAATATGTAAAACAAATATATTTTGGGGAGCACATCTCAGAAAAACTATTGAATGTGATTTGGTATTATCATACTGGTATGATCCTTGTATTTCATAGTTGGCTTTACTAAAATATAAAATATACAAATGAGCACTATGATTTGAGTAAAAGTTATAAATTCCAAAAATTCTAGGCAATGAGTAGTAATTTTTAAATCCATTTCATAAAAGTGTATTGTAGGAGAGAGCAAGAATGATAGTTTGCATTTCTTTGTAGTGTTGGCACTTTTATCTTTATGGGAGAACCACTCAACATTGTAATAAATGACAAATGAGTGTTAGCAAACACCTATGCAAGCAAAAATGAATTAAATCCTATTTTAGACATGCTAAATTAAAAGAAAAACCTTAGTATTGATAATTATTTGCAAATAAGGAACTTATTTTCTTGTAGATGATTATATTATTGGAAACTTTGAAGAGCATTACTGAACTATATATAACTTAGGTTTCAAATTTAAAATATCCCCTATAGACAGATACATACAAATGGATTTTTGAGCCCACCAACTTAATTCTCTGCCCCCACCCCCAATAATATATATGTTTTGACTGTGAAGAGAGAAAACTACACATGTAAAAAATAAAAATCAAATGTACCATACGTTAACATTCTGATGACTCCAGAATAAGATTATATACATAAACATATAGCAAATCACAGTTTCCTGCACTGAATGTTTATCAAATAAAAATGTAGCAAACAATACTGGGCAGTGTATCTCCACATAAATTGTGGCCTTCTAAAAAATTCTGAATGAGAATGGAAGACGAGAGGGAGAGCATTGTTCAATGACAAAAGTATGACAAGAGAACTAGAAATAACATTAAAAAGCAGGTGTTTCCAGAACAGGCATTTTAGCTACAAGAATTATTTTTTTTGTTGCTCTATGATTTAAATAAAGCCCCTCTCTATGTTTAGCAAGATGTTTTAACATTTACCAAAAAATCCATTGAATAAAGAAGTCACTAATTGAATGTTACAAACAAGATGGGCAAATTATTATTTTGCTGTTGACAGCAAGATGCTCTAAGCTGGTGTCTGATCGTTTGCATGCCTTATGGGGACAATTTCTGAGCCACGCCTTTTGCCTCTGTTAGTAAAGAGACCCAGAGTGTTTGGTGCAAGACTGGGAGGCATTAAGTAGTGATAGCTTTGCCACCAGGGAAGGCATTATGTAGTGATAGCTTTGCCACCAGGGAAGGCATTATGTAGTGATAGCTTTGCCACCAGGGAAGGCATTATGTAGTGATAGCTTTGCCACCAGGGCATTTTTGCTTGATGTTCTGAGAAAACAAGTATTTGTTAATTTGTGGAGGTTTGGAGGGTAAGGAGAAGGCAGGGGGAAAGGGTACTATCTGATAACCATTACACACAGCTCTCATTACTGCTTGTACAGCAGTAAAAATACGGCATGATCATCTCATGCTGCTCTAGTAAAACCTGGGTAGAAATGTGCACCACAGATTTTAAACACATAAACAGCTATTCTTGACAAAAACGATGATTTTTCTCTTCGGCAGGTGTCTGGTAATATTATTAGTAAACGTCTTTGGAATCTTCCTGTTATTTCCTATGAATAACATTCCAATCAAGATAACTCAAATGTCTTTTGGAGCATAACTTGCAACCATTTCCAGTAGAAAGTATTTTTCCAGGGGTTAGTGGTGCTTGGAATTTGGAGGATTGTAAATCCAGTCAATTATGATGAGTGCCATGCTTCCAATCATGAAGATGATTCCAACCACAAGGAAAATTAAAGCCTGTAATTCAGAGGGAGCTTGTTAGGGAACACATAAACCATACTCAGCACAGTTTGTTCTTACAAGTTGTTTACCCAAGGTGGCAATCTGATTTGCATATTGAATTGTATTATTTTAAATAACTCAGATGCCCATGCCTAAAAGATCAGTTAGTTTAACCCTAGTTGGGGAAAAAGGAGGAGTACAGTAGAGAGATATAAACTAAAGTTTCAACAATAGAGTAGTGGCTAATTGATTTGGTAAATTAAAATGATGGAATACTCTGTGATCATTAAAAATCAAGTGATAGAAAAGATTTAATAATCTAGGTAATGCTTACAATGTTTTAATGAAAATGAGCAGGTCATAAAAGAGTAGTATATATGATATGATTCTAGTTTTATAAAACAAAGAAAAACAAAAGCCTAATGTATATTTCTACAAAAAGTGTATCTATGTGTGTGTTTACATACATATCATATATACACATATTATATATAAGTATATATGTATATACATATATATAAAATATTTCAGAATTTTAACACTAGAAGAGGCCTTACATATTACCACATGGATCAACCTTCTAATTCTATACATGAAAAGCATTAGTTACATTTCTTTTTCACTAGAAAGGGTCTAGGATATAATTGCATTCATTTTACATATGACCAAGCTGAAAATGGGTCACACACAGGACAAGTAATTTGCCAAGAGCACCCCCTGCTATAAAAGTCCAAGCAAGGTGAATTACGTAGAGTTGAAATTCAGGGTCAAGGTGATGGGAGGGGCTTTTGATATCAAACTCTCCTGAAGTCCCTGAATAATCCCAAGAGGTGAATGACTTCAAGGCAAAAATTCAGAATAATTCAGTAAGAAATATTCTTCTCAAGCCTTCATATAAGACCTTATTAAGCTATCATGGATAATATTTAGTTATTGAAAAAACAATTATGTCTAGCATATGTTTCTGTAGTACTAATTTAATAAGACTATATTTTGTATCTAAAGAGGTTAACTGGACTATGAATGGTGCTATTCTGGATCTCAGTCCACACAAGGGATAAAAGGATCCTACGGAGGAGAAAACAAAGGCAACATCTTTTGTTTGGTCTTGCAAACCTAGCAAATATTCAAACCCAAATATTTGAATTATTTCATAACAATGCTAGGGAGCCTAATGTCATCCTGCAAAATTTCACGTGAATAGTGCAGCAGCAGCAGCAACAGCAGCAGCTTAACATGGGAAATGGGTATGCACAGAACGCCCAGGTGCCAGTGGGAAAAGTTATTACCATTCAACATGTATGAGGGACTCAACACAGGATATTTGGTGTTTGAAGAGAGGGACTTCTAATAGAACCATTTGAGTTTCAGAAATCTACCCCTTTCTCTCTTACCAGAGAGCTCTAGCCCACTTTTGATTTTTGGTTCTTGCCCATTGATTCATTTTTCTGAACCATGTGCATTTTCTGGTTTATTCCAAGTAGTGGAAGAGCAACTAATTATGGGGAAAATTGTAAGCCTTACTTACCCCGACCTTTTGGGGTGACCTAAGAGGTTCTTTCTTGACAAGTCTGAGATAAAAAGCTGCTGGAAGAATAAAAATCAGCATGGTGGCAGATGAAGCCCCTGAGGAGACAAACACAGGCAGGTCAATGTCTTACACAGCAGGTCTTACCCAGCAAAGTAGACACCCCAGGGCATGCACTTTGAAGAAACCAAATATAAAGCTATCCTATTCTTCTTAGCAGTAAAAGCACACATTTAAATCACGTAAGCACATCTTGGTTGCTTATTTGTAAAAGATATGTTTATTTGGAAAATTAAAATGTATCTAACATTATAGCTGCATGAGTATATGTAACAAAACAAAGCAATAAAAAGCTGAACTTAATAAAAATTTACAGGGGATTAAAAAAATAAATACTGAGGCTGAACTCTTTACATACCTTCTTACCCACCTCTTATTTTTCAAGTTGGCTACACCTGATTCTTTTAAAGTTCTAGAATGTGTGTAAAATTTGAGTAACTCCTCAATCAGTAGAGTGAAAAATTGATGAATAGACCATGCAGTTAAGGAAAATAATATGCTTTACAAAATCAACCTCCTATTGCTCTGAAGCTACCCTTAAATGCCCAGTTGATATTCATAGACCTGAGAGATAGACAGAATCTATCTTTCTGACTTTTTTTTACTGATGATAGAGTTAAGACCTAAGTCCAAATTCTGGGTCCACTCCAAAGTATATGGTTTGACTTCTATGGGGCTCAGTTTCCTCATCTGTTGGAAAAGGCAGCTGGACTAACTGACCTATAAGGTAGCTCCCAGTGTCACTTGGGAGTAAGGGAAAGTGACCAGTTCAGACACTGGAGTCTTGCGGGATTAATGGGAATCAGGAGCCTGAAAAGTACCCGGGATGCTGACCACCCAGCACTGGCTCCCTGTCCACCATTTAAGGAGGTTTAAGTTTGGGTTGACTAAATAAATATCTTTCTGAAACTTACCTATGAATCCAAAGATGTATTTTATAGTTGGCACAAGGATGACCAGAACGTTATTAAGTGCAAGAAGTACGGCTGCAATCAGGAAATGTCTTATCCAGCTGAAGGGTCTTTGGGGAAATAATAGTGTGGTCACTGATGTACGAATCTGCAACAAGAAAGTTCAAAGGTTAGATCACTTCTTTGTATTTGACTTTATCTACTATTTCAAATATTCTCATCACTTGAAAGCATCTTCTTTCTTTTTCCTTTTTCCTCCAGAAAAGATCCTGATGCTTTTTTGTCCAACTTTTTTTATTGTGGTAAAATATACACAACAAAATTCACCATCCTCACCATATCTGAGTGTCCAGTTCGATGGTATAAGGTACAATTATGCACCACATAACATTATTTGAGTACGGACCACATATATGACAGTGATACCATGAGATTATGATACTGTAATTTTACTGTACCTTTTCTATGTTTAGTTGTGTTTAGATACATAAATACTTACTGTTGTGCTACAGTTGCCTACAGTATTCAGTACAGTAACATGCTGTACAGGTTTGTAGCCCAGGGGCAATAGACTATGCCTTGTGCCCTAGATGTGTAGTAGGCTAAACCATATAGATTTGTGTAATTACACTCTATGACGTTCACACAATGACGAAATAGCCTAATGATGCATTTCCCAGAAGGAATTCCTGTTGTTAAGCAATGCATGACTGGACCTTCATATTGTTGTGCAACCTTGATGCTGATTTTTGATGTTTGAGATAGTGTCATTTTTCCTTGGTAACGCATTGTGTTTACTTTCTCAAATTTCAGAATTTTTGTTAAAAATAATCTCAGTCAGAAATAGATTTAAAAAAAAAACAGATAAAATCTGTAATTTAGATACATGGTAACACCCCGTGGGTCACTAATCCTGTCTCATCAGACTGGATTAAACCTAAAGGGCAAGCACTGAATTGATTTACATGAGACTGTGAAATGAATTTTTACAAATCTAGGTTTTTCTTAATGTTGCATTTTAGTTAACATTTTGCCACCTGATATTTTTAAAATAGATGATATTTCTGTGTTTACTTCTTCCTCTCTCTCCCCTGTTGCCTCCCCCCAATAGATTATAAGCCCACAAAAGCAAAGAACAGGACCTAATGATCTTAACATTCCCCAGAGCTTCTAGTTTAGTGTCTTATACATACAAGGCACTCAATAAATGCTGAATTAACTTAATCAGTAGAAATCTTTCCCTCCCTTCAGGATCCTTGGTGGATTTGGGCCCTACTTCAGCAGCTGAAATAAGTAGGTGAAGGGTCAAGAGAGGCTTTATTCGTGGCAGCTGCTCAAGTTACTCTGCTGTAACTGGATGAAGAGATCCCCATGGGCACAGGGAGGGGAGCCGTTTGTACAGCTTAACAAAGTTGAAAATGCTCTTATCTTTGGAATCTTTTAGAGGATGCTTTTTTGATGTAGTGGAATTACTCTGTTGGCTTTTCAATAAGTGCACCCCTCAGTTAAGCTAGGAGTCCACATTTGGAGAAAGGCTGTGATCCATTATCACTTTACAATTTTAGTTCTAAGGTCTCTTAATAGCGTGGAGATAAGAACTCACTTAAAAGAGAGAAAATGTAAGATATATTCTGAAACATGCATGAACGACAAAATATTTGAGCCAAAATTGCTTGAAATTTCTCATGCAGCATTCCTTTCATACCATTCCACCAAAAATTAAAGCCATCTGTTTAGGTTGAAAAGGCAATTTCATTTCAGAATGACAAACCAGATAGTCTCTGGAAACAGTTTAAGAATGACTTTGCAAAGGATTTTAAAAACGGGATTAGTGAAAATTAGGAAACTCATTCTGGAAAGAAAACTGAAGAAAGCAAATGGTTTGAGGTTGTTTTCCCCAGCAGCCTTTAAATTTTATATTATGACCTGCAATTAGTGCTTATCCAATATTGTCCAAACTGCTCTAATTAGTAGACTTAAAATAAGCCTTTTGGTGATACATACATGGTGCTTTAGGGTTTGCTAAACAGATGGAATAAACAAGTAGAACACAGGTTCATTTTCAGAAAGTGGTCGCCATGTGCCTTTAGTCCTTTGTTAAAATGGTGCGTTCAACTCAACGAGCTGAGTTAGAAGCAATCCTATATGTATGTGCAGGGCCTCTGAATGTGAATACGGCTTCCTACGGGCCTCGTGGTTCCCAGAGCGGCTAAGGTTTGGCCTAATGATGTAAGAGTATGAAAGTTGATAGATGGGGTGGAGTGGTTGGAGTAGATGGCGAAAGCTTCCTCCTCATAGCGAATAAGGAATAAGAAAATCCCAAACAGAAGTGAAGGCAAACAAAGTCTCCAATGCATTCCTGGAGAGGGCAACAGAGCAAAGAGGGAGATAGCAGGCTGGGGTAGAAGGAAACTTGCTGGTTACTCCATGTTAAAGTACTGCCCTGAGGAGTGAGTCTGGGATGAAAAGGCCCGCAAGGGTTCTGTGACGTCAGGACAGAGGCACCTCTGGCTCAATACCCACACAGCCTGGTCTGCTCTTCCACTTATCTGTGTGCCCTTTTCTTTACTGACACAAGCTGATGTGGGTCAGATGCTGTGGGTGGGGAAGTCCCTGGCGACAGCCCAGGCCTCTGACCCAGAATGATTCCAGAAAGGTTCTTTGCAGCTCTAGAGAAAACGCCTGTTATTTCCAGGGAGAGAGGGTCCCAAACAAAGCCTGTTAGGAGGTGCTGTGTGCTGATGTGGGGACCCAGGGTAAGGGTCAGAAATGTGGAGGCAGAGTAGAAACTGAGAGCCTTAGCTCTGAACCCTTAAAAAAAAATCCAAAAAACAAAAACTCTCCTATTGCTTGGAAGTGACTCATACTTTGCAAGTTTGCTATGAAACACCTGTGAATCACGACTGCAGTACACGGCAACATCTGCTATCTTTCTATGCCTATATCTACGGAACTTGAAAACTGATCTCAAGGCTACATAAGTGAAAAGAATGGCTTTGCTACGATATGATGAAATACAAGTAGCTAGCAGGGGTCCTCAAACTTTTTAAACAGGGGGCCAGTTCACTGTCCCTCAGACCGTTGGAGACTGCAGCACACATTCCACACATGCACACTGTGGGCCCCGGACGAGTGGGCTGCTAAGCAAGACAGGGAGCAGGCGGCAAAAACACCCGGTGGTCTGGATAAATGTCCTCCCTCGTGGGCCACATGTGGCCTGCGGGCCATAGTTTGAGGATCCCTGAGCTAGAGAATCTGAGACGTAATCGTTTTTAAAGGCATGGGCTTTGAGTCTGTGTGTTCATGATAAACTCATTAGGATTATTTGGTTTTCTGTTTTTCATGGTGGTCTGGGAACTTCACTACACAAAAGGAAGCACAAACTGGAAACGGCAAGGTCAGTCCTCTGGAGGGAGGGGCCTTCCATAATAGACACGCCCAGCCCAGGCCACCTCCCACACACTGCTGAGTGAAAGAAATGGTGGGCGGCTAGGGAAAAGCTAGAGTCTTAATTCACTTCATTTATTCATTTGTTCAACAGATATTACAAGCAGTTATATGTGCCTTTTACTAAGAAGGAAAAAACTAACCTTATTGGAGAAAAGAAAGATAATAAATGAAGTAAAGGAAAAACAAACCAACCCTTGTCATATCTTCTCAGGCTCCTATGAAAGAGGGCCCAGTTGTCACTTGTTGAAAGAAAGACAACACAAAATAATAGCTAAAGCTGATAGGTTTTAATCCATATGAGGTTTTATTTGTTTTGTTATTTATACGTGCAGCTATCAAGGCAAGTAAATAAACTTCTGATTGGTCATGTTTCTTAATTTAAAGAAACCTATCTGTAGAACCATGCTGTGACTCAGCATTTGGCACATTGAAAATCTGGGCTCTAAATTATAAGGAAAAACAAAACAATCCACTGACAGCTTCTACCACTTTGGCAAAAAAGTGTTTGAATTTAGCCTAGTAGGATTTGTTGGGGATCCACTCAAGGAGGCTGAGCATACTTCTTTGTCCCTGTATCTATGCCTTGGTCACATACGTGGAGGTTTGGTTCATTTAGCCCAGATCCTCACCCAAACTGAATTCATGACACATGTCAGCAAGAGAAATAGCCCATGCTTTTGCTACCATGTTTCCCTGAAACTAAGACCTACCCATAAAATAAGCCCTAGCAGGATTTCTAAGCATTTGTGCAATATAAGCCCTACCCGGAAAAAAAGACCTAGTGATGGGCATGGCTATGCAGTGTATCTGCACAACCCATGCATTTCCTCACAGAATGGTAAAGAAGACCAGCAGACCTTCTCATCTGCCCCATCGTGACAGCTACTATCCCAGAGGTGACCAGAAGGTGCGGGCAGCCCCACCAACAAGGTCGGCTCCCCCTGTCAGGTCCTGGCCATCCCGTGCGTGCTGCGAGCTGAGGCTTTGAGGGGAAAATCTCCTCAGTGTAGTGAGGAGCGGGATGCTCCACTTTAGGTATTGTGTGTCCCCAGGGGGAAGAAGGAAAGCTGTGGCTGCCATTTTACTATGATGATGTTCCAGAAGATGACGACTTAAGTATATTTGAATAAATGTAGATTACAACAATCTACTGTAGTACTGTAGATTGTACTGTAACAATCTACTGTAGTACTGTAGATTGTACTGTAACAATCTACTGTAGTACTGTAGATTGTACTGTAACAATCTACTTAAGTACTGTACTTAAAAAAAATAACACATCCCTTGAAAATAAGCCCTAGGTGTCTTCTTGAGGAAAAATAAATATAAGACCCTGTCTTATTTTTGGAGAAACACAGTAGAAAAAGGAAGTTTATATATTTCAAGGAGAGGCAAGATTCATGTGGAGACCATTTTTCTTAACAAACATTATCAAGCTCATCCTCTGTGCTAGTCTCTGTGCCTGTCCCCCTCCTCTGGGGACTGATGACCCCATGAGGAAGCGGACACTTTCACAGACCATGTCAGTGCAGCATCACAAGGGTGAAGACAGGGTCATGTGCAAAATGTCCCATCAACGCTAATGTTGAGTGAAAATAGTGAAAGGTAGCAGTTATTTTTCTGAATTTTTGTTCTCCTGGTCAATTTTGTTTCTAATAGCATCTAATGTTTACAAACGATTGCACTTCCTGATGGTCATTTTATACTAGTGCTTTATCTTTCATGCAGGGGAAGAATTCCATAGGGGAGATATGGATTGTCAATGTTGGGGTGAAATGTTCACCAGTAAATGACTTTTGCCTCCCATTATAATGATTGCAGCCATCAGTGTTATGCTATGAGCTGCATTAGTTCAACTGTTACCAAGTAGCTGTGTGACCAGGCCAAGTCCATCAGTCCCTTGAGACCACAGCTTGGAAACACTGCATGAAAGTGAATAAAGCAATACTGAAGCACATAACAAATTTCTTTCATAAAGTCCTTTGGTTCAACAAAGATGTGCTTGCCTGTTATGTGCCAAAACTTAGTAAGTGATTTCTTTTCACACAAAAGGAAGGGCTACACATATTCTTTTCTCCGTCAAGTTGTTTGCTTGGAAATTTTAGCCGATAGTACACCTTCTGTTTATAGCTGTCTTCTGTCTTGTACCCCAAATGGAGCCGATTTTAGGCTAAAGCTGTGTGTACGTCATTTGAAATACTTCCAGATATATCAGAGGCAAGACATTATTTACGAGTAAAATATTAGCCACCATAGTAATAAGGATCTGATTTCATGCACTCATGAAAAAGGAATGTGCCAAAATACATTTCAGCACACAAGCTGCATTTAAAACAAGCACAGTGTCATTATATAAGTGGTCCTCATACGCCAGGCCCTGTATGGAACATTATGTGCAGGACAGTGCTGGTTACTGTGTCACTTATTTTTTTCCCCTCAAATGAATGAGTAAATTTAGTGTTGATGAAAGGAGAAGAGTTGGCAGGAGGGTGAAGAGCTGTGTTTATCCATAGGTGGTGGTTTTAACTCATGCAGCCCAAATTGCCACAACCGGCCATGCTCTGTTAGCCCAGAACAAACTGACGCCAATGGCCAATGCCAAGAAGGGGTGATCCCAGTCTGAGTCTGTCAGAGGGCATGTGTCAGGTTTTTCTGGGAGGAAGTGAGTGAGTGAAAGAGATATATGGTAGTTAACATAATTATTTTTGAAAAATTATTTCTAATATATAATTTACTTAACTTGAATCCCCTTGTCATTAGCCTTTAAGACATCAGATTAAATAAGCTGCCTTTTGGATGTTATTGCAGTAAAAAAAAAAATTGGAAGAAAATATGAAATGCCTTCAAAACTGTGTTGAAATTCAATATGATTTGAAAGTTAATGTGGTTTTGGCTTTCAAGTTTCAGAAGTTATATGAACTCCTACTCATTTTTACTAATCCATAAGACTGAAGCTCAAGCTCCACTTTTTGAATTTAAAAATAGATTTCATGATTATTTTCCCCTACTCTTTAAAAATACTTACCACCTAAAAGTACTTGCTCTATTTACATATTAAATGATCGATTGTAAGTGGCTTCAAAATGCTGTATGAAAATAATAACGTCCTCAGGCACTGCAACTGCAAACTCACATTACAATTAAATCCACAGCAAAGCACAGCACATGCACTAATCTATGAGGTCAAACAGGTTTCTTGCATCAAAGCCTTAGGTACTTACTGGGAACAGGACAATGGGCACAGTTAGTGTTACCGCCACAAGGACTGCCAGGCGTACCATGAGCAGAGGAGTGTCAAATGTATATACTTTGCTGTAAGCATGAAGTAATTCATCTTCAACTTCTCCTACAGAGAGGAAGAAGAGAATGAGTTCACTCGGTGTTGTCAATTCGGCACTGGTTACTTACAGCAACATTTTATGGAGGGAACAGAGGACAGTGGAAAAGACCCAGGTCTGGGAATCCAGATACCTCCGTTCTTATCATGTCTCTGAGCTTATTAGCTATGAACCTTTGTTTGAATGAACAGAGGTTTTCGGGGGGCAGGGGGGAGGTGGGTGGGTGGATGAAAGAGATTTATTATAGATAACTATTTTTTGAGAAAATTTTTCCAGTAGTAATTTACTTAACAGGACTCCCTTTCTCATTAGCCTTCAGGGCATCAAATTAAATAAGGCGACTTTTGGTTGTTATTGCAGCACAACAAACTGGGCGAAATTAACAAAGGGTGGCTAAAGATTATAAACTTTCAGGAGCAATAGAAAATGGCTTAGGTGGTTCTTGGGCTCATTTGCATCATGATATATACCTGCCTATGTGACAGAGAAGCATCACAACCCAGATGAGAAGCTGAGGGGTTCTTGTTGAAGGGAACGAGAGGCACAAACCCCACCAGCTTGTCTCTCCCATCCTCCACCCTTCCTCTGCCCCCACCTGCCCAGCCACCCCTGGCACAGGTTCTCCAAACTCAGTATGGAAACTCTAGGACAAATGATCTCTAACATTCTTTCAACCTCAACAATTATGACTCTATCAGGACACTGTAACACATATTCTAGGCTTTTGCAAGTGTTGGCTTATCTTATGAAACTCATTAGGGTATGCATAAGTGACGTACATGTGAGGATAAATTAGTATAATTTTTATAGGGTCACCCAATAAATACTGCTGTAAGATTAACATGCTGCCCTCCTTGAAAACACATCCATTCTGAATTCCAGACACAAATGACAAGGAGATATCTATGGAATGAGATGTAGTTTAATTTTCCCCCTGCTTCTGTCAAGAGCAGACAAAAAGAGGTAAAAATACCCTCAATGGTATTGACCCTGACTTTCATTTACTCACAACCAGCAAGAAGTTAATGCCCAATCTAAAGCACGTGCTTGGTTAATAGTCAAATATTAGTCAAATAGAAAAAAAAAATCTAAGCAAATGGTGGCCTACTCTTGAGTCTTTTCCTCCTTAACTTGTCATGCAATCGATTTAATTACTAAGTCAGTCAGAAAAAAATCCAAAAAGAGAGGTTTATACAAAAAATATATTTATGCTGATACATTGATTACTGTAAACGTGTGCTACCAGGTCAATGTTTGATTCCATGAAATTCATCTATAGGGCCACACTTGATGGAAGGAATACAATTCCTTCTATGGAATTGTACCCCCTGGTGGACTGTCAAGATGCCAGAGAGGAAATTTTGCAGGCATAATCTAATGTGGCCATAGTTACTTTTTTTTTTTGTACTACATTCCTAGATTGAAGGAAATTCTGCCATGTCCTTCTCTTTCTTAGAAAACCATTCACAATAAAAGAACAGAATGGGGTAAGCCAGAAATTTTACCTAATACACCAAACCCTGATATAAATAAGAAGCAAGTTCATACTTGAGCACTTTGTAGTGTTCCTGCCGTTTGCTTGGCAGTTAACTTTTCCATCAAAGGAGATTTACCACGTGCAATTGGAGTCATTCTTGTTGCTTCTAGCCTGAACTGGATTAAGGATTCTAGCCAAAGAAATAGCTATCCCTGAAGGAAAATGATTTAGTTTGAAGGATATATTTTTATAAAATATGTATGAGTTCACAAATTGTAACTTGTTAGCCAGGCTGGTTCAGGTCTTATTTCCTTAGGTCAAGTGGCAAAGCTAAAACAGCATGTGAACTGAGTATATGTCATCTATAGACCATGCTCATTGAGGGCAATCAAAAAAGTTATACCTAGACAGGTCAATGATCAGCCTAAGCAGGATTTGCGCAGAGAATAACCTTGACAGAGTGACATACCATAGAAGGTTAGGTAGCCAAAGAGGGCAGCAAGCAGGTACATGACAAGCATCCCCGTGATGGAAATATTTGACACTGTTTGCATTTTCTTCCGGGACCGACTGAAAAGAAAAAGAACACGGAGCTTTTTTTTTTTTTTTTTTTTTTTTTTTTTTTTAGCTTTTGAAAATATCACTTTTTAAAATTAAAATAAAAATAATTTAAAAAGTATGTCTGTATTGCTCGTTATGAAACCACATTTCTAGTACATAAACTTATAGCTGATTTAAATTTGTCTTAGAGGGATAATGAGGATTTCTTTCTTTTTTTCTTAAACACTATTTTTTCGGTCTTAGTAACAACCATTTCCCTATAAGAGGAATAGTATATTTCATGTCTATAAGTAAGCTTGTCTACTGCGAAATTAAGAATGCAATTAACATAATTATCAAACTGGTTCCTAATGTAGACAGCTTTTGAATGTCATGATGAGCTGACTTTAGTAAGAAAAAGAACCTTCTAGAATCAGCAAAACAACTATTGCCAAGAGTTCAGACAACCAGGAAGCCTGATATATTGTTACCTGAACAGCTTCTGGAAATCATTCTAGAGGGCACGAAGCTGTCTATGGTCAACTGTCAGGCTTCTGGAGTAATGGCTGCATGTGATTTTCAAAGTAAATCAAAGACATCAAAATAATTGGAGCGTACCAAAAATTTTTTATGAGATAAATCAGAATTTGTGGGGAAAGGGGTCACTATTTAATGAAAATGAAGGCTGAGGTTATTGATTTCTGGATTAGAGAAGTTGAGAATTATTATATGACACCATTCCTTAAAGGTAAAGAGGGAAGCTACTATCGTGACCTCATACTCTTTGTCCCCAAGCAGATATCAACAATCTAAAAGGGAAGATGAATCATAGACCATCAGCTGGAACAAAAAAAATACTTTCTAGCCAATGTCTCCATTATACAGATAAGACAATAAAGGCCAGATATTGGCACATCTCGTACAGTGAACGGATAATATCAGTGGCTTATCAAGATTGCCCTGATCATAATTTTTGGTCTTCATCGGTGTTGTCATTTCCTGTCCAGATGACATCATTTCTTCCCACCAAAATTCAAAGGTAAATTCCCCCAAACTGCCAAAATCATTACAACCATTTGCTCCTTGTCCCCCTTCCCTGAACTGCTCCCCTGAACCATCATAGTGGAGAGATGGGAGAGAAGGAGGCAGGTTAGCTAATGACAAGTGGACATAGCACGAACTTTCTCTGAAGAGAAAGCTACAAACCATGTTTCCTCTTAAAGCACCTTTGAACATATGAGCAGATCATCAAAGCAAATCAGAATGCTAAAATGATGGCTGCCTTACTCTTTGAGTTCACTGTAGATGGGAAGGACCTCAGGATGGCACACAAAAGCAAATGCTAGGATGGGAATTGCATAGGCCGTCTGAAAAACAAAGACAACACCACATGTTTAGCATTCCAACATAGATGGCAATTCCAGTCCCTCTCAGTTTGTGAAAAAAAAACTCAGAGGCTACATTCTTAGGCTCATTAGAGCTCCGTGCCTCTCACTTACCCGGGAGTTGAACACGAAGTATTTGGGTTGACACTTGTCATCACTATGGGCTTCATACTCGACCCCACTGTCATGAAGAGAGCCCTTGGCCTGGTTCTCATCCAGCCCTGCAGGATTGCGGTGGGTGTAATCCATCATGAAGTTCACATCAGCACTCTCAGAGTTGTTGGGTAACATCACCACGTGCATTGGAAGTGTGTTGTTGAATGTCACATTTCCAACATTGTGATCCAGGACGGGCAGAGGGCAGGGTATTTGGAATTTCTTGTAGATCACCTAGACCCAGTTATTAAAAAAAAAAAAAAAAAAAAAAAAAAGCTTTTTAAAAAAAAAAAAAAAAAAAAAAAAAAGTCAGCCTTTTGAAGAAAAACAATGAAATAAGAATCCATATGTGTGGCTTATGAGGTGGGGGTGAGGGAACTCAGCTGGGGAGTCCTTTGAGACTAATGGACAGTGGAGACTTTGCCTTGCCTCTGTCCTAAGAGAGTTGGAGCTATGGTATGGTTGGCAGCCCTGCCCCTTAGAGTCAATAGGACGGTGTGTTTTGCAGAAATCCATCCCAAGCCTCTTTCATGCTGTTCCATGAGAAAGATGATCATTTCCTCACTAAATTTCAGATCTTTTATTTCTTCAAACTAATTATAGCATGAGTCATCACAAATTTTCTACTCCTTCTTTACCTCTTTGAGAAAATTCTTTATACATTTTGGCATTCATGATAGTGCAAGAAATTCACCCTTTGGGCAGCGGTGGGGAGAAGAGGATTTCTTTAATCCCACTGTGGTTGCCCTGTCGTAACAGGTAGAATGTATGAAAGAGAACGGTTGATTCATGTGCATACGCTTATAGCCTACTTGTCTCTCTTTTGGACTCTTCGCTTCCTCCTCCATCTTTCTAAGTACTGGGTTATTGTTATGTTCCTGCCTGAGGAGTTCTTTTTGTCCAAAATTACGCCCCTTGTGCCTAGAACATACCATTAGCAACAGCGTTGGCATTTGAACTCAACTATTTTTAAACTCATGACTGCTCTTTGCTCATCCCAAATTAGAATATAAGAAAATCACTTGTGATACAAGAACTATTTCATGCTAGTGACATGCTTTAACAAAAATGAGAACACTAATTCAGGCACAAAAACCATCTCATGCTCACCAAGCTGCAAGGATCATGTCAACACATCACTTACCACACTGACAAAAAACACCATGCAGGTAAGAGAAAATCCACTGGTATAACCAAGGTAACCTAGGAGTTAGCAGAAAAATTTTGGAAGGTGAATATGGTATCTACAATTGGCTTACCTATTAGAATATGCAATGAAAATTTAAAAAATTGCAATCAGAAAATATTTTTACCTAAATTTTTAAGAAGAGAAAGCGGAAGAATAATTCCAATGGACACAAATATGACGAGGTAGTTGCCATCGAGGTACCATTCTCTAGGTGAGAAAGAGAGACAAGGATATTAGGATCAGAAAAGAACAAGTAGAATGAGTCATTTGATGTCACAGAGGAAACAAGACATACCCAGTATTTTCTTCAAGTCCCATGAATGCTCTGATTACTTCAGGTAGTTCATATTTAATGATAAAGAGGTAGCTTGACATTGCTGAAATGGAAAACGTGACAGCTTAGTGGCGTGCACAGCACTGAGGTCATACGCAAGTTGTAAGAAGTCATGACATTTGGGGCTGCTATTCTCTGTCAGATGAGCATCTAATCCTCCACATGGAAAGAAAAGACACTGTGTATTCTGCACTCCTTCCAAGTTCTTTTCAAAAATAGACACTTGGCCCTTTAGCTCTTGCAGGTGGACATTTGCTAACAGTATCAGTGCTCATTCTGTGTTAAATCCAGCTCTAAAGTTTACAATGAGGCTACAGTTTCAAAGTTTTACCCCCATCAGTTATAAATCATCATGGTCTGTACTGAATATGCCTGTTTTAGTGTCTATAACTTGGACAATGGTCTGGGAACAAGAAGCATGGGCCAGACGAGAGAGGCAGAATCATAGGCAGAGGCATGGAGGTGTGGCTTTCTGCAGGTGGGCACCAATCTAGTCCTCTGGGATCCCCCTGAGGGGCACAAAAAGTCTCAGTCCACTTGTTGCTAAAATTAGTCTTCCTGGACTGATAAAAGAATACAAAAGATGATAGCTTCTCCCCCTCTTTGTCAGTGAAGTTTCTTATCCTCCCCTCTTATCTTACTCTCCTTTTGACTAATTAAGGAATTACACAAAGTGTAAAATTTCATGAACACCTAGGTAAGTGATATATGAGTGATCATGTACTCTTTTGAAAATCTGATGAAATCTATAAATGCCCTCCCTGGAAAAATGAATATGTATACATATGATTAACATTACAATTTTGCCTAAAATTGTGAAAATGTATGCCTTTTTTCAAGTCCACCCATTCAGTGAAGTATAATTTGTTATTTGACACATGGTCAAGAGATTCAATTAAAGATAAAACTGGCAAGTTTTACATGGAAATTTCAAGTATGTGCTATATCCTGCTGGTGAATTTTTGCTAACAGGCATCTAAAACAGATATGTAGGTTGTAAATTGAACTATTAACATTTTAAAAATATTTTCTTAACTTCAAATGAATGTAATAATGCTGATCATAGTTCTCCACATTGTTTAGTGCTGCATATTACTTCATTTGATCATCTGAAAAGCCCTGTGAGATGACAATCTCTATATTTATACTCACTCTGCAGCTGAAGGTCTATAAAGATTTTGAAAGTTTAAATGACATACCCAAGATCACACAGCTTGACAAGAATAGACCACATTTAAAACACACAAGTTCCCTGACTCCCGGTCTGGTGCTTCTTCTCTATTGTCAAAGTAAAATGATTTTTACAGTGCCCGATGCGTCTTCTGTGCACATTATTTGGTTAATCTTTACAGAGACCTTGGCTAAAGCTAAATCTTACAGAGCGTAAACAGAGGGGATATTTCTGATTAACTGGCTCAGTGAGGTACCATTCAATGTCAGAGCCATTAATTGCTGACTTTCAGTGATGTCACCACTGTTAATGTGTTTGGTCTTCGAAAATTCAGAATGATCCAGACCAGTCCGAGTAATGTCAACACTGCTCTGCTAATGTTAAAACATTTGCAGTAAATGTTCATATTTTTAGGGGATTGAGAAAATTAAATGTTCTAACTGTGGAGTTGTTGAATACAGAAATGCAAGTGATTTCCTTTATGCCAAATATGTACTAATCATATAGAGTAACCAAAGTGAGAGCACTTTCTGGGATGGTATTAGGAAATTTCATCTCATTTCCTTAAAGCCACACCTCTCACCTGTATGTGGCTTGACTGAGAGACCACTTTATAGTTTGTTCCATTGTTTAGAGGCATAATAGTGGCCGCACTTTGAACCATAGATGCCTCTGCCGCCACTCAGCTAGTTGAGTCCATAAGCTACATATGCTTATGACTGCTTGGTTCAGTTGTCAAAACAAGTAAATTAGATCAACTATGAGGTGATCCTGTAAAATTAAGTCTTTAAGTCTTAATAAGGCTGAGAATTTGAACCAAATGTAAAGCAGTGTATTTGACGGAATTTGAGGGGTTATCTGCTTAGTTATTGCAGCATTGTTTGTAATAGCAAAAAATTAGAAACAATCTGTTCCATAAGGATTCTATAAACCAATTATGGTACATTTGTATAATGGAAAACTCAAAAGCCATTAAAAAGGAATAGCATGCAAATATATTCAAGGCATATCATTAAATTTAAAAAGCAAGCTAGAAATCAGTATTATAAGATGATCCAATTTTAACAATACCAATATAGTTGTTAAATTAGACACAGGAGAAAAACCTATGAGTAGTTATTTCTGAGGGTGACTTACATAAACTTTTCTTGGTAATTTATATATTTATGCAATGTTTTATTTTCCACAATTAGCATATATTTCTATAATAATTATAAAAATGTCCATTTAAAAAATAATCAGATGGTCTCCAGAGACATGGATATTGACGCAGAGAACCAGGGAGGAAGGAAGCAAGTGCCAGACCTTTGTTATGCGCCATATGTTTTCTTCTTTTATCCTCACAATGACCTTGTAAGGATGAAGTATTACTCTCATTTCTACAGATGGAAAAATTAGACTCAAAAGAGTAAAGTGATTTTCCCAAAATCATAGATAGTGACAGAAACAGACTCAAATTGAGATGTATCAGACTCCAAAAACTTAATCTCTACTCAAGGGTTTTTAAATGTCTTTTAAAAAACAGTAACGTACCAGATGTGTACAAACAGGGCCAAGAGAGCCCAGAAGAACTAGTACCAAACAGCCTAGAGAAGTCGTGGACCAGGGTGAAGGATGGAGGGGGAGAGAGAGAGAGAGAGAGAGAGAGAGAAAGAGAGAGAGAGAGAGAGAGAGAGAGAGAAAATGTATGTGTGTGTGTGTGTGTGTGTGTGTGTGTGTGTTACAGTTCAAGAAACATTCAAGGGAAGAAAACAGCATGTGCAAAGAAGACATAGAGGATTTTTTAAAACACTAAAATAATACCATTGGGGGCCTGCATATAGTTTTTATGGTTTGGCACAGGGCACGTAGGGGATAGAAGATAGGTGGATGATATGGGCATTGGCAGGAAAGGTATAGAAATGTAGGCAGAAGAACACGATGAAGACCTTTGTGTCAGGCCAATAAGGTTAAGTTTTTAAAAATAATTAAAAATATTGGTTATAATTAGTAAATTATAAATAGAATAAAATGACATCCTGAAGAATTTTATACATGAAAGAAGCAGGATTAGATTTGAATTTGAGAAAATGTATTGGGAGGAAGCATTGGAGATAGGAATAGGGGAAACTCAAGTCAGGGAGACCAATTAGAAAATTACTGCAACAGTCTGAGTTAAAAAAAAAAAAAAAAGGTGATTATCTGTGGTCCTGTGGATAGAAGGAGAGGGGAGATTCAAGAGATAAAGAACAGATCGAATGGAGAGGATTGGGCATCTGATTGGACTTTCAGGGTCAGGGAAAGAGGAAAAAGTTTAGGCTGACACCCAGATTTCTGGCTTAAGACAATGGATGGCTGCGGGGGGTATTCACTGAGAGAAGAGAGAACAGAGAAATAGAATAGCATATTTGGGGACTGGGTAGGAGGTGAGGAAATAAGTGCCACCATGTGGGGATACCCTTGGGACCATGCAGCAGCACACAGTCAACGGGACTTCTGCACTATGAGTCTGAGGGTCTTCTGAGGGTCAAAGACACACAGAATGAGTGTGAAGCTGGTAGACAAACATGCCATCTACAACACTGCTAAAAGCATACATTTCTAGGCTCTACCCTTGAAATTATAATTCAGTAGGAATTATAAGAATCTGTAGGCTGGGCGCGGTGGCTCACGTCTGTAATCCTAGCACTCTGGGAGGCCGAGGCGGGAGGATTGCTTGAGCTCAGGAGTTCGAAACCAGCCTGAGCAAGAGCAAAACCCCGGCTCTACTAAAAATAGAAAGAAATTAATTGGCCAACTAAAAATATATTTATATAAAATTAGCAGGGCATGGTGGCGCATGCCTGTAGTCCCAGCTACTGAGGAGGCTGAGGCAGGAGGATCGCTTGAGCCCAGGAGTTTGAGGTTGCTGTGAGCTAGGGTGACGCCACAGCACTCTAGCCCGGGCAACAGAGTGAGACTCTGTCTCCAAAAAAAGAAAAAAGAACCTGTAGAACCAATGAATCTGTGGTTTATAGTGATTCTGATGCCTAGCCAGAGTCTTGCATTAGTACAACTTCTAGCGACACTCTCCAGAGGGCTGGCTCTGTGTGGGCTGTGTCCCCCTACTGTGCCCCAGACACCTACTTTTCAATTTTATGGAAGGAAATCAATCATACATATGAAACACCCTCTGTTCTGGCAATGACAGAAATAAACACAAATACTTTAATTTTTAAAAGTAATAATTGATGCCATACAGCATTAAAAATACAAGAAAGCATTTATTTTATATTTTAATTCTAAAATTCAATTGGTAGGGTTTTATATATTATTTCATTCTTAGATATTGTTATTTTTAATTAAAGAAGGACAGCAAATCTACTTAAGGAACTTTATTTTTAAAATTTGAGAGCTATAAGGAAGCAGCTATTTTTCTGTATTTAAAGTGATTGTTCCTTACCATAAGAGTTTTCTTATTTACTGAACATGCCATAGAAAGTGTAAGTGGTTCACTGAAAGCTATATCCCCTTACCTCCAATGTTCTGCATTGTAATTGAAATAAAAGCTGCGATTTTTCCAGGCCATCCAAATGCCTTTTCCCCCAATTTTTCATAAATTAAAGACCCTATAATCAAAGATAAGATAGCCATGTTAAAAAGACTGTATTAATGACTAAAATATTTCTATAATGTAATTATACACTGGAGTCTCAAACACGTAAATAGACAGCATATAGAAATGATGCAACCTGAAACCCCGAGGATGCAACCTGAAAAACCAATGAGTAATATATTAAAATGTTCTTCAGGCAAGAAGCAATGGCTTCATTCACTTCAGCTGCATGCAGCAAGGCAAATGGTTATTTCTATCATTTACTAAAAGGCTCTTTTTTTTCTATTTTGCTTGAACATGAGCCTCTCACTTGCCCAAACAACTAAAAACACTGAGAGACCATATCGCTGAGGTCAGAAGAAAATGAAATGTGAAATTGACTCAAATCATCCTAAGGTTATGAAGTTATACACTGAAATACTTTTATGAGATTTAAAACAGAATATCTTGTATTTAAGGGGTAATGTACCTCCTTCCTTGGCTGTCTTCAATAAAAGGTGAACTGAATAGAGTGATAATATTGCCACAGCAAGCAGCATGATTCTGTAAAGGGAACAGAGAGTAGATAATAAAGTTTCTGTAATAAATAAGACATAATAATATTAGATGTTACAGTAGATGATTGCATCGGTCTTTCTAATCACCAACTTTCCAAAAGTATGTGGATTTCTTTTTGGAAGCTGAGAGATTCTTTTCAGAACTCCACACATACCCTTTAATGTCACAGAACTAGAATTTGCTATATTTTATAGGCCCAAACCTACCACATGAAGTTCCTAATGAATATTTTTTTAGTGTTACTCAAATGTAGAATCTGGATCATAGCTTAGATACTAAGTGTATAGCAAAATGAGCAAATATTACATCTCCTTACTCAGCATATGGGTATATGCACACTATATTTGCATGATATTCATATCAACATTAGAACTCAAGGGCTATTCAATAGCCTGACTAAATCTTAATCTAAAATCCAGGAATCCAGAAGGCAGTGCATGCAGAATCTGAGCTCCATTACTATTGATACTACATGAGGAGCAAGGTATTGTGTCAACCAGAGGGTCAGGAAGTTGCAAATGTAATGGGGAAGGCAGAGAAAGGTAAATATAGGGGAGAGGAAAATTCCTTTTTTGTGTTCAGAAAGAATCAGTTTTGGTGTAAGGACCCTCTACATGTCCATATGCATGTATAGTTTCATTATGTTTATACTGATCAGTATTTCTCCCAAACCAAGAATTGGAGCACAAAAATAAGAGCGTAGATAGAGAATCTACATAATAAATGAAAGAGCAATACTTTTACCTGAAATTTTAAAAAAATCTTTCTTTGTTTATTTTACATGATAAGAACACACTAAATGTTTTCTTCACAATTGATCTAATCGTTTGGTAATTCCCAATGAAATCAATGTTATATATAACCAGGAATTATAAATTTTATAATCACTCCTACTATATTGTGCTCTTATTTTCCATAAAATATGTCTGCCAGAACTGTCTAACCAATGACTTATTCCATATGCCTTATATACTTATCCATTTTTGAAGAATAAAGAGCATTCCCTGTATTTTTAAACATGTACTTGTTTTGGCAGAAAATACTAAAGGTAGAACCAATGAAATACTGTGTTACTTGCTGTGAATTAAGGGAGAAAACTGAATCCAGTCTGTGCCTCTTCCACACACAAGACACACCCCATGATGTTTAGCAATTTAATTGCTCTGGCTAAATTAATCTGTTAAATGTTTATAGCCCTGAAATGAGGTTCTTATTTTAAAAGTGGAGTATTCTCCTGCTATGAAAATGATCTATGACTGTAGGATTGAGGGAAATGTCTACTCCTTCTATTTATCAGTTATCTATGATAATTTTCTAATTAATTTAAATAGTCTGGATAATTAATAAGAAGACAGTCTTTTTGTCTTGGATGTAATGCACTTTACAAAAGCATACAAATACATGAATATATCACTAGCTATTAAGATCTAAATAATAAAGAAAACCCTACTTTATTTCAAATATGGTTTATAAAAGTAAAGTTATAAAAACCCATTCAGCTAAAGAATATTCTACATAAAACAGTTCAATGAAAGCCCTAACACAATATAAATATTTATAGTCCTGATCCTCGGCCCTGAAATAGCTGTGTGACTATCTAATCATATGTGATGTTCAGAACATAAATAGCATATTTATACAGTATAAGTGTTGCATTCTTAGACCATTATTTAACTCTCTAGCATTACATTTGGGATTAGGATCTGTGTCGACATTGACGCCTAATATTAGACTCTATTCTTGTGAAGAATTCCACTGCTGCCAACTATGTCTTAGAAAATACCAGGCTGTACGTAATGCACAGGAATGTCTGTGGTTGTCTGTCACAGATGACCTGGTATCTATCCCACAGGTCAGCTATGACAAACTGTTACCCTTAAGCAGCATTTGACCAAGTTAGGTGAAAGTGCACAAGTTTGGGAATAAGCTTCGGCCACTCAACAAATATTTCCTATGCCAGGCACTGTACTAGGTCTTGGGGCTTGAGAAATGTGCTGAGTAAAAACAGACATGGGCTCAACTCTATCTAAAATTTATAGTGTAGCAAGCAAGATAAGCATTAACCAAATGAATCAGACAAATGCACTACAGTATTAAAACTACAGTGAAAAAAAAAAAAAAAACTACAGTGAGTATATAATAAGGTGATTTTCCCCATCATGGAGGTCAGGGAAGGCAGGTGAAGCTGAGCTGAGATGTGAAGAGTTACTAGATAAAGGAGAAAGGGAAGAAGTTTCCAAGACCATCTGCAAAGTTCCATGGCGAGAGGAAATGAGGCATGTTCCTGGGATGGAGAGAAGGCTATTATGCCCAGTGTATCTGTCATAAATTGGGCAAAGGGAATGGGCTATGAGGTGGAACCAGGGCATGAAGTGTTCTCCAACCTGCTGGGAGATGGAGATTTTTTTTCTAATGGTGAGACAAAATCAGATTTGCTTCTGGGAAAGATCTTTTTGACTGCTAAACACCAAATATTTCAAGCTTACTAAACAATGAAATACTTTGTACAATGGTTCCTATGGGCTGGCGAGGCTGCACCAGCACTTTCGGTGGTTGAGCAAGTAAACTTTCTAGCATTCAGTTAGGGATAGTTGGGTGAGCAAACATCATGATTAGACTGCTCTGATTTTTCCTCAGGTTGCTGTTTTATCTAAAAGCAAGAGGAATACACTAGTTCTTTCTCAGATTCTCCATGCTCACAAAGATCAAACTTCAGATTTTTCATTGAAAGAGCACTGGATATGCATGGACTTCCTTGCCAAATGTAGATATGTACATTCACTTACATAAAAAGTATGATCCCTGTGTTGGCCATGGCATAGGACAAGCCCAAGATTCCACTGCCCATGATGGCATTACTCAGGTTGAATGAAGACATTCCAAAGGAGGTGGTTCCAGGGTGCTTGAAGAAAAAGGAATGCTTTATAAGCAAACATTTGCCAAAGGGTAAACTTTTGGGGATTATTCTTATTCACACATTATTTTTAATGGAGGAGATTACAGTCCCTAATTGAAGACTAAGATAAAATCACAATGAGTAAAAGCCATTATTCAAGTCAATAAAAGCATGTAATTTTCAATGGAATGTAGTGCTTGGCTTCAGCAGAGCTCTCAGTAAAAATAAAAAATACAAGTGTAGTAACACAAAGAAGGGAAAACATGTATGATTGCAGATTACATTTGGGTTAGAATGATTTCTCCAAAAAAACAAATAAATTTCATAAATGATTTATGCAGCCATATGGCGAACAGGAAAAACAAGCCCTTATTCCAGTAAGGGCCTAAATAAACAGAGAATGTGCTGATCAAGGCTTGGAAAATTTCAGTCACATTGTTTTCCCCCAGAGGTCTAGGTAGATCAGACACCCTCAGTCCTGTTTACCACCTAAAAGCATAGATTCACTTACATGTTCATCGCCGTAATCTGCCAGCTTCTTTTCCCCCAAAAATCCATTCGTCAGGAATTTTTGACTTTCAGCATCTTCATTAGCAAATGGACTGAAGACACACACACGAAATAAGAGAGTAAAAACATCTAAGTAAGTGCTCTGAATCATATTGGTTCAAGTAATCTAAGTAACTAAATTAGGAGAGGAAAAACAAGACATGTAAAATTGTTTTCTTCTCCTCTTCACACTAGTGGTCATTCCAGACCAAAAACTGAGCTCCATTTATGAATATGCTTTGGGAGAGAGAGAAAGGATATTATGAAGGAAGGAAATATTAAGTTGAAAAAATTTCTGTGCCACATTTCTCCCTTCCCACATTAGCTATCCAAGAAAGAGGCTAATTAAAACTAATTTCATTCCCATTTAGAGCCCTTCAAAAAAAAGGGTCCGGAGGCATGACTCTGAGTTTTCTGAAGTACTACCATACCATAATCAGATGATTTTATGAATTCAACAAACATTTATTAAATGCCCGGGCACTGTGATCTTTAGCTCATTTGATGCTCACAATATCCTTGAGAAGAATTTTCATGTCCTTACTCTAAAGATGAGGCAACTGTGGCTCAGAAGAGTGAAGTAGCATCCCCACATCCACACAACTCCAAGGTTGCGGTTTTCCATGGATCCAACAGCTCCAGGCACAGCCCCATAGCTGGTATTTTCCTCTTTTTTGGACTCCCTCTGTTTACACATATATCCCTTGTGGGAAAGTAGTTCAATGATTGCTCTGTGTTGTGTTTGGTTATGTGCATGAGTGTGTTTTAATTACTCTTAAAATGTACTTGGATTATTATTAGATAATGGATAAAGCTACGGAAATTATTAAAGCAACCCAATGAATTAGCAGAAGCATTGGGAGGGAAGGGAGGCTGTAAAATGTTACTATCCACAGAACTTGTGATTATAGTCTTGGGCACAGGCTAGAACCTGCACAACTGGGTCATGGTGCCACCCCCCTACTGTGCTGCTGAGCTCCTGCAGTTACAAGCCGGAGCCTTTGAGTCTATGGCCCCAAAACCAGCCAAATTTCCAAAAGGCTTGACTAGTGAGGCGTGCTGCTACCATTGCATTTTTATACTGCAAAATATCACGCAGACTTATTGTTATATAAAATGCTCAACTACATATGCTTCTAACAGTGCTTTCAAATTAGGTAGATTACAATTTTTAGAACATTTCATACATGAAAGAGTACGATACAATAATTGAAGAATATTTTATTAAAATAATCCTTAGAAATAAAGTAGAAAAGAATTATTATTGGAGATTGGTACAAATTACTTTTTATAATAAGAATATCTGATGGGGAAGAGGGATGACAGCATTACTTTTTGAGAAAAGATAACAATATAAGGTATAGATAGAAGGAGCAGACAAAACCACAAGTTTCATATACTTTTCTAGAGCTCAAGGAGTAGATGGCACTGAGTACACAGGTTAAGAACATTTCCTGGCCTTCTGCCCCTTTGTCTCATGGAAAACATAATGCCCTCAGTTGTTGCCTTCCTCAATTTCCACATACCCCTGCTGCCATTTTGTGATTTACTATAATACTCTATAGTTAGTATACTTGCTATGTGAAGACTGGCACTTAATGTTTGCTGTTGGAAACTGAGACAATAGGATGAAATGAAGCCTAAAAAGGGCCTGAGGACTATAAAAACAGAAGTGTCACCTGGAATTTGAACTCTGGAATGTCCAACACTCCATTTTTTCCCTTTAATCAATGAACTAAAATCTGTATTTCATGAATAGTTTTTAAAATTTAGAATTTGAAAGTAAATAGATTTTCTTTCTGAGGCATTTGCAAGTTCTCATTTTGGCATGAGATGAGTTGTAGTCATAAAACATGCCAAGATTGTATAAAATATATGAGAAATGTCCCCAGTGCGTTAAATGTTTTGATATGAAATCCAGTATATATTGAAAACACCACTATAATGATCCCAGATAAATACATTATGTTGCATTTCTCAAAAATTTACATTTAAGGGTTTAATCCAAACCAAACATAGACAAAATCCATCTTTTTGAAGTGAGGATAAAATTGCAAACTGATGGCCCATGTTTAGGCCAAGAGTTAAAAGGGAAGTCACTGTTAGTGGCCCAGAACACACTGTGTGGAGCTTAACAGAAGCATTGTTGCTCTTGCCATTGGAATGACTCTGGGACAGTTCTTGGAAAGTGTCCCCTTTGGCTTAGCCAACCTCTGCAGAGCCCCAAATTGTGTGCATACCTCTCAGAAACAGAATACTCCTCAGATTTGGATCAATTTACTAAGGCTAATGAAGTGAAGGAGAAAGAATAAAACTTTATTGAATATCATCTATATTCTGGCACTCATTTAATCCTTATAAAAGTAGCTATTGGTTTGCTATTCTGCATTTTCCACTGAAGCTCAAAGAAGATAAATATTGTCTCCAAAGTAAGGCAACTACTCTGCAGACTCCAAAGCTCTGTGTTCTACCACACTGTGTTTTCTCAGAAGTCGCTTGAACTAGAAAATGCCACAATTACATCTCAGTGGCCTCTCTAGCCCAACAACCCTAAAGTTCATGGCACTGAGCTACTCGCAGGAAGAACACAGCTTCCTCCTGATTGCCTCTCCTGGATGTCATGAATGAAATGACAAGTCCTTGTCTGAGGATAATACTCTCTACTTCAAGCCTAGATTGAGTTAAAAATTCCCTTCTGAGAGTCATAAATCACACACAATTTGTGTTATATAACATTTTGTGGGAAACTAATGTACTTACCCAATAGCTATTGTGCACCTACTGTGGTTTGTGGTGGACCACAGAGGCCATTAAGCCATTGTAGTGGTGTGATTAACATCTGAGCAAGGAGAGGGTGAACAAAGGAAGGGTAGACACTTCTACCTGGGGGAGTAAAGGTGGTTGAGCTGATTCTTGGGGGAGTAGAGGTGACAACAGAGAGACAGGGGAAGTGGGCAAGTGATTTGTGAGTGACTGCAGGCAGGTGAAGCAGAATGAGTGAAGGCAAGAGGGTACAAAAGGGAGCAGGGCAAGAGGCAGGACAGGAGAGGTAGGCCAGGGACAGATCCCCAAGGGCCTTTCATGCCAAGCAGTGTACAGTCTAACCTTTATCTTATAGCTAATGGAGAGGTGCAGAAGGACTTTTTCTAAGGATGGATTATTATTCAATCTGCAATTGTAAAAGAGTACTCTTGCAGGAGTGTGGAGGCCTACAGGGAGGAGAGCAAAATGTAAGACAGGGAGACTAATCAGGGCTGTTCTAATAGACAGGTGAGTCAGGATGAGGGCAGGGTAGAGGTAGAGGACAGAGTGAGAGAGAGGGTAAGATGGCAATAAAATGGATGCCTAGGAGAAGGTGAATTTGCGACCTGGGCTGGTTCACCCCTTCTTAGGCAACCTGGTGGTCCCCTGCTCCAGGAAGGTCACCATATTGATGCCAAACTTAGTGCGGACACCCGACTGGCATAGCGCACTACGGTCCAGGACTCCTGGACTCAAGCGATCCTCCTGCCTCAGCCTCCCGGGTAGCTGGGACTACAGGGGCGCGCCATCGTGTTCGGTGGAGAGGGTGAATTTGAAACATTAATAACCACTGCTGTGTGGGGCAAAGTTGACAGGTAGGGTCTTTTGACTGCGATACTGAATGATAATGGTGACTTTCATCAGGATGGAGATTATTAGAGGAAGAGCAGATTTTGAAGGAATGAGAGGAGTTCAACATCAGGCTTTGCAAGTTTAACTTCATAAATGAGCACATTCAGACACATTGGTTGTCCAGTAGAGATGTACAGTAGACAGTTGAATATAATGATCTGAAATTCAGTTGAGAAACAGTCTGAGAATATGGCATATATTCAACTATTCCAGGGTAGGTGTGAATGAGCTTGCTGGGAAGACACTTTTAGAGAGAAAAGAATCTCCGTAGAACCCTAGTTTTAATAGTCAAAGGAAGAGAAATCTGAGAAAGAATAGTACAAAAGGTGAGAGGAGTGACAGGCTAATATAATTAAAATTATCCTACATTACTAATGCAGAATGAAGACACTGTAACCTCAATTCTAAATTAGTCACACAAGGGATTGAAATTATGATTGTATTTCAAGATCAGGGAATTGATATGTTAACGTCAATGTCATTGTTATCTCAAAATTATCCCTAATAAATCCAATACTTTCCAATGAGACCTTTGTTTTCCATGTTCATAAACTTGTCTCATTTTTTCCATAGAACCTGGTAATTTTTAACCCCATACCTGCTCATTGCTGCCTTTTCTGAATTTCCCATCCCGGTGTAGATATCCGGAACACTTTCTCCACTGCTGCTCTCATCATCTGGTTCGATGTTGACATTTCTCAGTTCCACAGGATCCATTTGAGCTGTCAGCGCTTTCTTGTCCACACACAAACCCCTTCAGTGTAAATAATATACTGTGCCTTCAGCCTGAGGCTCTTCCACTCTGTGTTGATGTTCAGAACACTCTGTTCTGCAAACAGAACACAAAATAAATCATTATAATTTTCTTTAAATTAGATAAATGAATATGAATTACCTACTTTCTGTATGCTCTCTGTAAAACATGAAAAGGAAGTGAACTCCTGAAAACTTCACATAAGTATGTCCTGAAAGGTTCCCTTAGCCAATACAAAAGAGGAAAAAAAAATGAAAGAGAAGTAAAACTACTAATAATTGCTAAACCAGCAATTATAAAGTGTCTATGTATAATGAACATGGCAGATGCTTTACTTGTCACTATGAAAAGAAAACGAAATCTTAAGACATGGCTACAGTCTTTAAGAAAATTTAGGTATTTAAAAGTGGAGTACATATTTTAAAAGAAAGAGAGACAAAGGTAAATTGTTGACTAACGATCTACCAAGGCAGAATTGACCAATGTCTCTGCTAGTTATAACTGGAAAGAAAATTACTGCTTTAATTCCATTGGCATGAAAGAATTAACACTACCCAAATGCTTAATAATATGCGACACAGGCTAGGATCAAGCTTAGAAAGTCGCTGTTTAGGCACTTGGATCCTCAAGCCAAAGATAAAAATACTAACAAAGAAAGTGTAGGTTTACTTTTGAATCAGTATCAGTCACCATCTATATGAAATTAAAATGTATTTTAACAACTAAGAAATCTAGCTTTTAGGCTCTGCCTTTAATTCATTGGATCTCAGCACAAGTCATTTAACTTTTTTGGGCCTCATTTTCCTAAATTGTAAAGTAAAGATGGGTGGACTGGCATTGTCTTTTAAAAATGCCAAGTATTCGTTATATGCTATTGAAACAATTTCTTCTGAAACTTTTACTATTAGATTCATTCAATTATTTTGAAACATTATATTGGGAGAAACACTATCACTCTTGGAAGGTGTGGTTCTGAAATTTGTACTATCCATTCAATAAGAAAATCCTGAGCAGAGAAAGGAACATAAAAATTGCTCCAGAAGTCACAAAATCTATAAATCTTCTGACAAACAGAAACTGTCACATGTAAATGCCTTCACAATCCAGTGCCATGGATGTACATCTGTGGAAGACAACTCACACTTGAGATAAGTTCACAACCCCAAATTACAAAAGTTAAAAAACACACATGGAAACTCACTAGTATCAGTGTGAGTAGGCATAAGATATGATAAGATTCACACCTGAGGAACTATAAATAACAAAGCAATTTAAAAGGTACTTCTAAGTTAATATAATAAAGAGTAATAAAAAGATTTAAAATAAGAGAGTAACATCCATAGAATAAAAACATTATAAAAGAAGAACAGTGAAAAGGAGTGTGAAAAAAGAGCCAAAAATGGGAGAGGGAATTCTAAAAATAAAAAATAGAGTCATTGAAATAAAAAAAAACTTAGCTGAAGGGAGAATTATAAAACTGGAAAGTAGATCTCTGGAAAGCACTCAAATTATATAGCATAAAGAGAGAAAAAGAAAGAAAAACATGAAGAAGTTAAAAGACATAGGGGAGAAACAAGAATAAAAAGTTTAAACATACACTATTAGTTATTCTAATATGAGAGAATTGTGGGAGTAGGAAGAGACAAAATAGAAAGAGACAGTGGTAGAGAATTGTCCAGAAATGAAGAAAAACAATAGTTCTCCAAATTAAAAGAAAAACACAGTGCTCAAGCAGGAGGAATAAAAATGAATCTATTCATTAATATAATGTGGTCTAAGCACATAATATAAAATATCAACAGAAAAAGCTTAAAAACTACCAGAGAAAATACAAGACATGCATACAGGTAAAAAAAAAATAGAAACTCATTAAATAGGTATAATTTCTAATAATTTGTTCCTACCCTCTTTCTCTCTCTCTCTCTTTATTTTTTATAATATGTCACCTCTTTCTTTGATTTTTGGGGATGCAATATTTTTCAAATCTAAGGATATTAATTGGAGGTTTTCCAAAGTTCCTTTTGTTCCCTAAAGTATGTGTTTCTTCTGGAGTTAGTTATCATTTGTTCATCTTGGTTCTTCTTGGTCATGCTCCTGGTTTTCCTAAAATTCTTAGTGATCCTAGGTTGTCTGTTCATATTTATGAATTAGAGAGTATGGTTGGTTAGCATAGGCGGCTAGTACTCAGGGTTTCCCTGAAATTATGTAGGCCTGTTTCACTGGTGTGCTGCTTCTTATAGGTTCTGTGTAGTGGGCTCTTCTGCAGCTTGTCTGTGTGAAGAGCATCCTGGAATAACTCACTCCTAGACACAGCTACCACTCTAGGACAGGTTACTTTGGTGGTTAAACGTTTTAGTGAATTTTCCTCTTGGTGGATTTTCCATTCCTGCTTGTTATACCTCCTTGTCTGCTTCAGGGGCCCTAATACTTATCCTAGAGTCCTTGCTTGGGCTTTCTTTACACACTGGATCATAGCCTTAGCCTATGGGCAAAAATGGCAGCCCAAACAGACCATCATGTCTGGACTGGGGTTCCTTGATGAATACCTGATCACTGATTGCCTGTGATCCACAGCTCCTCTTCGGGTTAACTTAATGTGGAACTACTATAGGGCTCCCTCTGGAGAAAGCACACTTGCTTGTCCTGGTTCCTTTTGGCTTTCTCAGGTTTTCCAACTCCATCTGCTTTCTGGCTTCTAGGAATTCTTAAAATTTTCTGTTTATGGTGGTACCACTATTGTTTTTCACAGTTTTGTGGGTGTGCCCTTTTAAAAAGTGTCATTTTGCTTAAAGTTTCATAACTTGACTTCCTTAGGCTAGATCCTAAGCCCCCTTCTTCCAATCTACGCACATGTGTGTCCACTGGCCTAACTGACACATGCATATCTAAAAGGCAGTTTAAATTCAGTGTGCCCAGAAATCTAACTTGTGATAGTCCCCTCTTCTTCCAATGTTTGCTATCCAAAGAATGTTGTCAATATTTAAGCAGTTACTTAAGCCAGAGACATACATCTTCTATTACAAATTTTTCTTTTCTTGCCCCCCACATCCAGTTCTTTGCAAAGTCTGGTTGATTTTGCAACAAACTGAAGTATTTCTTAAATTAGTCTACTTCTTTTCACTTCTTTCACCGTCACTCTTGTCCAAGCTACCATCATTTCTTAGACTGTCCACTGTAACAATCTTCGACTGGATCTCCTTGAATCCTCTCTTGCCTTCCCTAACTCTCCCATTCATTGTCACAGAATAGCCAGAGTGATCTTTAAAACAGAACACAGATTATATCATTCTCTGCTTAAAACCCTTGAATGTCTTCCCCTCACTTGTAGGATAAAAGCCAAAATTCTCAATATGCCCCAAAAGATTCTACATGGTCCTCCCACTTCTCTTATCTCATCTCCTACTACACCCTCCCACCTCGGTGTTCTAGCTACACTAGTCTTTCCATTTCAGAAACTCACCTTGCTCTCTACCACCTCAGGCCCTTTCCACATGCGGGTCACAGTGACTGGAATGCTCTCCCCTCCCCCCCCCCCTTTCCTTAGCCAACCCCTCTAGGCTGCTCTGGGAGCCAGGAGTGCCTTTCATAGTATCCAGCTTAGTCTGGGGGATCAGGGAAGGTTCCTCTGAGACTTTTGTTGCTGTAAGTATACATGTCTGCAGTCCTGGGAGCTTCAGTTAAAGTCTGTTTCACTTTGTACTTATTCATAGGAAACTCATTGATTTCATTTGCATTAAGCCATGTTCATCCCAGGATTAAAAAAAAAAAGAATATCAAACACTCATATGGCACTTACTGCATGCCAAGCACTGTGTTAAGGCTTTACACCTATTCACTCATTCACTCTTCAGAGCAGCCCTCTGAGGTTCTAATTCCCATTTGACAGATGAGATAATGGAGGCACAGGTTTAATGGCCTCCTGCTATGCTACCTCTGTACTACTGTTCCAACTAACGAGAACTAAAGCCTAGTCAGGAAACAAGAACTCTAGCTTCAGTGATAAATGAAACTGGCTGTAAATCCTAGCAAATTAACTTCTGACTTTTTTCCATCTTCTGCTAACTGAGGATAACATCATTTACCACAAAGCAGTACTGTGAGGGTTTAAATGAGATAATGGGTGTCAAAGTTTGGCATATAGTAGGCTCGTAATAATTTAAATCCTTTTTCCCTCTTCTAGTAATCAGAATCTAAGTGATGTCTTCATCTGAATGCAAATATGCATAGAAATATGCATAATTTGCCTTAGACATTTATAAAAGAGGGCTTTACAGTTCTCAAAACTCTCACAAACATTATAAGCAAGGTAGATGCCCCTTCACAAATGAGGTAATTAAGACCCCATTTTATGCTATTTTAACATATATAAAATATTTATTCCATTTGGGCCCCATCCAAGGGAGATCTCATCAAAGTTGGAACACATTTTCATAGCTCATAACTTCAGCTCTGAAGATATGATTACTGCTCTATTTCAAGGGGATAAGGGCTAAATGCACAATTTTGAAAGAATTAGGACATTATGAGAAACTAAATATTCTGAATCATTTGCCTGCGGCACAAAATATGTACTTTGAAGCCTTTAGACAACCTCATAATTGCTCAAATTTAATCACATGATTATACTTCAGTGTGGAAGTGTTTTACAGATGGTATTTATTTATTTACTCAATAAATACTGAGAATGAAACATGAGCCAAAAACAATGCAAGAGACAAAGAATGAATAAGACAGGATCCTTGCCTCTGAGGAACTCAGCCTATTAGAACAAAAAGATTTTTGAACAAATTATTATGGTAAAACATAATTAACATTTTTACTTTCTTTCTCTGAACAAATACTTACTGAACTAATCAGTGAATCACAGCACGGGTAGGGTAGAAAATAATGGTGTTAGCAAATACTGTGATTGAAAACACAGTGTTCATAAGCACAGATTCTTCTGCCGGTCACCATCTGAAGACAGGGCACTTCCATTCACCCAAGTACTCCCGGGAGGAGCCCGGCTGTCAGCCTTGACACCTCCCACTCTCCATCCTTCATGCCCTACTCACACCCAACCTGTGGCCAAGTCCTATCAGTTCTTCTTTCAACATCTATTTAAAATTTTTCATTTCTGTCTCCATGACCATTATGTTATTCCAATCGACTACCCTACAAAAGGTCCTACCATGATTTTTTCCATCGCTTTTTAGACTAGAGTCAACTTTCATAATCTGGTGTAAGCTCTTCCCCCCAGACACAGCTCTTCAGTCCCATACTGAATGGCATCCCCCTCACTGAGTGACACTGGGCTTCTTTCATCTCCCCGTTGCCTCCTCAAGCCTCTGCTTGGAATGCGCTTCCCCACATTCTTAACATTCAAGTGTCTCCCATGTTAACTAGAACAACCTGGAAAATCTTAAAAGGTCATGTGGTCAGAGAGGCATTCCCTGACTCCACATCTGAACTGGACACCACCCCACCTCCCCACTCTATGCTCTTGGAACATGCCCTTGTCTCCTGTATAGTACTTATCACACTTTGTAGTTAATTTCTAGTTGTGTGATTAACTGATAAATAACTGTCCCTCACCTCCCCCTCCTCCCACCCTCCACAAGGCAGGAAGCTTCTTGAGGATAGGAACAGTGCCGGCTTTGTAGACTCTCCATATACCCAGCATCTAGCATGGTGCTTGGTGTTATATTCTACTAAGACCAATGCAACTTCATATGATCGCCTTTATAGATACAGTTATGCATTCCTATTACAGTTTTATAGGTTAATAATTCAAAATGAAATGGAAATATTCTCCTCTGGTTACAAAGAGCTTTGTTGCACAAATAATGTTCAAAATGCTTCTAAAATAAAACTCAAATTTGTTTTGATAGAATTTTCTATAGTCCAGCCTTTCTCTCCATTGAGGTTAAGTTTCTCTGTGACACAAAGATCTTGCAAAAGCAGACTGGGTATTCCAGTGCAGTGGTCAACCGCATTGTTAATTAAATTTATTCATCTATAAGGATACAAAATCAAAACTTGAAACAAAAGAATTCAGAATTTTATCCCAATAGAAGAATTCATCACCTTTGTTAAGAGAGACTTAAGTGTTCTAAGTAGCTGAGCTTTATATCTACCGTCTAGTTATTAAACATTCTAATGTCTAATTCTTTGAATAGGTACCTAAGAAGCTCAGGATGGAAGATTCTCAAAACAGCAAATTTCTCAATTTTTACTTCAAAGACAGACATAAAATTTGTAAAGCAAAACTGACCTTGGGTCAAGAAGCAGAAGTCCTGACCTTCCCTAGTTACTGCAAACATTTATTTTGCCTGATAAGTGAAAGTGAAAAGGGAGCTAACAGTGTCAAAGCAGATTTCCCACCATCGTTATCTGTCTCGTCGTTCATGCCAGCCCAGCACTGACAAATCCACTCTGAAATCTAGGTTTCAGTAACAGCCTCGCATGTCATTTACTCTTTGGTGGAACAAGTAAGTAGTAGCTGGTCACAAAACTGCTAAAAGCCAAATGATCTTGTATCCAAGGAACTGATTTAAATCTACATCCAACATGTATCACAAATAAGCGAACATGGCTTTGACAATAAAATCAATCTAATATTACCTTTATATTAAATTCTCTTACTTTTCCCAAAAATACCTTTCACATTTTGACAGCCAGACCTCTTGTTGGTCTATGGCATAATTTCTCAAAGGCATTAGCTTCCATAAAAGCATTCACTGTGAGGTACCTCTTAGAAAAGAAACTGCCAATAACAACAGAACCATACTTGCTTAACTATTTCCTGTTGCTGGTGATAGTATTTTAGCATTTCCATTCCTTTCCTCTACTCATATATAGATTAGAAATAATATCTAGGAAGAACTAGAAAGTTAAAATAAATAATCCTTTGCTAAGGTCTTTTCCCTTCGCTAAAAATATTACATGTTTGCTAGGGTAAGAATTAAAGCAGCCATTTGATGGGGTATAAAGAACTATTCATAAAATTTGAATATGCTATTTTGCTTACAGACTTTCTAGCTCTGTTTATAGAAGACATAGATTCTCTAGTCATCTTAAACATAAATTCTTATATAAATTTTAGTTATTATTTTCCTAAACCATATTTTCCACAAAGTACAGGGATATATAGTATACATGATATTAACATAGTGAACTTTTTTTTTTTTTTAGGTAAGGTCTCGCTCTGTCACGTAGGTCAGACTGCAGTGGCATTATCACACCACCATAACTCACTGCAAACTCAAACTCCTGGCCTCAAGCAATCCTCCTGCCTCAACATCTTGAGTAGCTGGGACTATAGGTGCATACTACCATGCCTGGCTAAATTTTCTATTTTCTGTAGAGACAGATCTTGTGACGTTGCTCAGGCTGGTCTTGAACTTCCTGCTTCAAATGATCCTTAAAATGCTAGGATTACAGTCCTCAGCTACCACACCTGGCCCGTAGTGAACTCTTTATGCTACATATTTTAATGCATGATACTTAGTAACCTGTCTTGAATTATGGATGCAATAAATTCCCAAGTGTCTACATTCTTTATAATAGACCACCCTAGAGGTACTTTTTACTTCTTCTGAAAATAAATTATTTTCACTTTCTTTAAAGTAACTCATGTGTTAAAAATAATAGCATCAATAACCCTTAAAACATATTGTGTAACATTTTTAAAGAAAACTCAAGAGTTTAGCCACTAAAACTACATTTTTGAGAACTTAAATGTTGCAAATATACTATTAGGAATATAAATATAATTACTTTCAGAAAATTCCCAGAACATTATTTAAGTATAAAAGTGAACTGAAGGATCTTAAACTGTAAACCTCAATGCTTTAGTTTGTTAAAAACAAAACTTCTTTTTGACCAGTGTCCATGACCAGTGTTCAAGTATTTTTCCACCCAGGTATAAAACACTCTTAGTTTTGCTACAGCCTGGGTATTTAAAACCATCACTATATGCTGTAAAGTGCTCAGGATGCAGGGATACTTAAATCCACTGTGAATTCTCCCCCTGTTTGATTAATAAATTTGACAAGAACAGCTCTACTTTCAGATAATTGATTCTTCTCCTTCAAAATCGAAAGCTATGCTTCTATTCAATTCCCCAGTTCCTTCTAGTAACTTTGCTCTAAGTATACTCTATCATTAAAACTGTCAAATTAAGAATACAAAGTAAGACACACTTTTTTTCTTTTTTGTTTGATGATGGTACAGCCCAAATCCTTAGCCATTCACATAAGCTGCCTTCATGTGATGTTCCTCCTTTGATTAGTCTAGATCTGTGTAGGTTTCTGTTTTGTTTTCAAGATAAATAAAAATCTTTAATGGTGTCATATTGAGAATGTTCTAAACTTTTATGTTTTTTGCTAAGGCACAATTATGTCAACTCTTCATTCTATTCAATGATCGACCAGAAGAAGATACAACCAAGCACTTGTTACCTGCCACTTTTTGCAATGTTTCCCTTTTTCCTCTTATCCACTGTCCTAATTTTATGCTCAAATCTAAAACTGACTCCAAAAGAAAATTGCAATCAGGATCTGGGTAAATAATTTTGATGTTTGACATTACATTGAATTGATCTTTTCTAAAATGAGAAAAAATTTACCCAAGTAGTATGTTCACACAGTTTACTTTGTAATGAATAAACAATCCATACAATAAAAAGAAGAAAGTAAGCATTATTTTAACACTGCAAATATTCATGTAAAAACAGCTGTACCTTAGTTATTTATCCAGTCCTGTGCAGTCTTTCCTGAATTATTTTGAATGGCAGTCCCCTGTAACAGCGTTGACTTGTGTGAACCTTTGGGGAAGTAGACAATGATTTAAAGGACAGTGGGAGTGAACAAGACAAGCCAATCAACACCACCACCTTGCCCCAACACCACCCTCTTTCCAACTTGCGTCAGCTTTTTTTTTTTTTTTAAAAAAAAGAGAAGCTAAATCAGTTTACTGTTGTACATTTGGATTCAACACTGGTTCTATTTGCTTTTAGAATTTTGGCTTTCGTACAATAAAATCCTCACTGAAAGTTTTTCTTTGGCTAGTGTCATTCTGTTTCATGATTCTATAGGTTGGTTGGCTGATAAATCCAGAAATTTTGAAATTTTTCAAAAGGTGTAAGAATGAAAGTCAAAGTAAAACCATACAATAATAATAGTTATGGGGTAAGATTGTTTATGAAATATTATAATCAGAGTGCATAGAAAATATTGATTACATGGTGGAAGAGTTATTTTCTTTTGAATTGTTGACTTTTTCAGGGGTAATTTTACAAAGTGACAAACACTTCCCAAATGGTACCAAGTTACATAAGGTGTGGTGTGGTTGGAAATCATAGGTCATTATCAGCCACTGCGAACACTCCAAAGACAGTGTGCTAAGTAAATAAAAGACTGGTGTTTTTAAGGAATTTCTAAGTGGACATTTTTCCCCTTCAAAAAAAATCTCTCCACATGTCAGAGGAAGGGTTAAAATGTGTTGGCACAGTTATTTATTCTGTTGTGAAAATGTATCAACTAGAAGTTACTCTGAAAGTAAGGTAAGAAGAACAGATTAGAAATCAATTCAGAATTAAAAGTTCTTCTCCTTTTAGATATTTATGACATGAATCAACAATCTGTGAACCAATCAGAAGCAATGGAAGATTACAACAGTTCTGTCAATTCCCATTTCTATAAAAAGACAACTGAATACTGTTCCTCGAGTAAGAAATTCTTAAGTTGATCCAAGACATTAAACATTTAACAAAATGTATAGTTACTCATTTCTCTTTTCCTTTTCCAAATGTGCCCATGTGGTCTATTAGCTTTAGTATAGTAAATTTAGTTTTACTTGTCTCTCAACTTGTTCTTTATCTTTTAGAGTTGCCTGTAGTTTTTTTTTTTTTTTTTTTATCAGATGAGAATTATTAATATTATGGTGTAGGGGGAAATGATTACAATAAATGTACTAGTTTTAACTGCAGGGAAATCTAAAGAATATTCCTTTTCAAACCACTGCTTCCATAATTTAATTGTGATCTTTCCAATTTAAGATGTCTTTCTGTTTGCCAAGTTACCAGATGAGTATAAGATTAACCAAGGAAAAACTTGCAATAACTGTTAGAAAATCAAATTCTTCTATTCTGATAAAATTCCATTTAATAGTGGGTCAACTGAATAGGAATGAATGTACTCTAATATGTACATTTTATACAATAACATCTTCATATAAAATAAGGTGAAGATAAATGTATAAATACTTAAAGTTTTACCTCCCTTAAAAATTTAAGCTACAGTTTCCTTATAATTTTTATATTTAAGTATACTAAATAATTATAGTAAATTAGCATGTTGGATTAAAATAAAAGCATACATAAAAGACTTCTATTGAAGAGTCATATATCTTTTGAACCTACTCTACATAACAAAATTCTTATCACAAGACTTTTCTAACACTGACTTAAAAATCAAATATACACACATGAAAACTAATTTGGCAAAATTTAGGTGAGTTAAAATAACTAAGGAACTAGTTTTTTGTTTAAATACTTTTTCCTTAGATCATTTGATATGTTTAAACATAGCAAAACTAATGATCTAGTCTTACAAAATTCAAAGTAACTTCCCTTTCAAAAGCAAAACACAGACTTAAACATTATAATTTAATGTTCCGAATATTTCTTAAAATCATACCATAGTGTAATCTCATATACATTTGGTAATGGATTTATGCTCTTTTGGTTTTTACAAGATGGCAAATGGAGCACATTCAGTGAGGCTTTGGTTTAGTTCACATATATCACTGTAGAAAGAGGTAATGGACCTGAATATGCACAGACTTTAAAACTGAATAAAATGAAAAATCATAAGTAATCAATAATGAAGCAAGTCTTGGAATGAGATGACAAACATTTTAAGTGATCCTTCATATAAGAAATTCAAATAAGTGCCACCACGAATAGGTATACGAGACTTGGTCTGTATTTACACAGGGGTAGGGGTGGAGGTCAAGATATGTCCACATACAAAGATACTTGGCTTCGCAGACCATAGCATAATGAATGCCAACAGAACTGCACAGTGTGCTCCAGGACTCCTGAAGATGAAGAGTCCCCAGGAGAGCCCAAGAAGGTTTCAGGGAGGCCATGGACCTTGAGCAGGGTCTCAGAATTCCGGGTGAGATTCCAGTAGGTACTGAAGAAAGGAAAAGACATCCTGGATGATTGCAGAAATGCTAAAAGCATATTCTGGCAACAGTGGGAATCATTCTGGTTGCAGTGGAGACTTTCTGGAGCAAAATAGGGCTTTAGAATGGAATAGCACAGACTGCAAAAGGCAATTAGTTCAGGGAACTCAGATTTTTAGTGATGAGGAACTTTTTTAAGTTTCTGAAGAAAATAATAAAATCAGCAGAGTAGGAACGCAGGAGGATGATGGGGTGGAGGTGGAGGTGAGGAAGAGGTGGGGGGGGCACTGATAGTTTGGGTCTGGTGGTATTTGCCTGTCTGAGAATGATGGCAGAAGGAAAGGTAGGTGAACAGAATTTTAATTGGGCCAATCATGATTTGAGTCTTTTTCTTGTATTACCATTTATTTTTATCACTTTCACTAACTCATAATACATGCTATGAATGTTATGTGATAATTTTATGAAAAACAAGAAACTAGCAACAAAATCTTCATTTTTTCTTTACATAGAGAAAAAGAATATATGGTTAAAATTCATCTATTTCAGCACTCCTTCAGTTAGTCTGTGGCTATCATCTTCAAATAGTGTGGTGACGGTCCTAGAATGTATATCCCAATTTAATGTTATCTACTGAAACTACAAAACTATTGGCTCGAAATAAAGTGATTCAGATCATATCTATGCATTGAATTAGAATTTTTCTCACCCATATTTAAAATCATTGATCATCCCATTTAAAATTTATACCTTCAACGATGTCCAGTTGGTTCAGAAAGTTCACCTGGATCAAGTTAAAACTAGTCAATAATTAAGAAACAATCTCTTAGACCATCATAGCATTTTGCAATGACCCTGGGAAAGATAACCTCTTGTTCTCATAACTGTATCCAAACTTCTAATATAAGTCATGGGACAAAATGATACTTAGAAATAGAATTTGGTTGTAGCTAAACTGGAAGATGTGTAGAAACAGAAATGAATAAGAACCAAAGTATCTAATTTTTAATAATTTAGTGTTGTTTTGTTTCTGTATTCATTGCTTTTCTTTGTTTCCACTTTAATTGCTTTTTAGGTAGTATACTTTTTTCCCTTGTATTTTTTTAACTTTTCTATCCTACATTGTATTTACGATGCGGTATTCTCCAAGAAGTGTTACTTTTTATCATTTTCAGCCCTTAGATTTGTAAACTCTAATATTCATAAAATCTAATAAAGTAGATCAAGTCCTAGTACTTCATGTTGGTTCTCATCCCACAACCAATATTTGTGTTTCCAAATATGGACAACACTAATCCAACAGTTTTTACAGTGTTGTAAGTAAATGTCTATCTGGCCTACCAAGTCTTTCCTAAAAAATGGAAGACATTAGCAGAACTGTAATTAGAAACAATATTTTGATTACTTTTTTTTTTTAACATAATGTACCCTCTGCCTTTTGGTTTTCAAGCCTACAGTGTTGAAAAGAATTTGTGATCTTTTTTGATGGAACAGCTTTGGCACCCCAAATTCTTCATCTTATTTCTGTTTTAATATGGATAGTTACAGAAAAGAAAAGAAAAGAAAAGAAAAAAAAAACTCCATAGAGAAATGTTACAGAAATTTCCTAAATTATTTAAAAGCAGAATTCCATGTTATCAGAAAGAGAAGTTGAGCACTTACATACTTGTGCTACCATATTCTTTGTATCATTTGTGGAATGACAAAAGCTTAGGCATACTGCAGGTTTCTTTTTGCATGGTTCCATCATGATTAATTTAAATTTACGGAATAAAAAATAAGAAGATAAAATTGAAACACTACTCACTCCAAAGCCACATATCAAATTAGTTACAAACAAAGAAGTAAAGATTAATAATTTTCTAATTGTCCTTCAGCAGAGCCTCTCAGATATACATGGAAGCTTGGGCTACTTCTATTTTTTAGAAGCACCAAATATACTTTTTAAAAAAATTTTTAATCCCCAATGGGCTTACTAAACTGTAGTACATTTAAAATTTTTCTACTTAACAAAATAACACCTTAATACACACACAAATACAAACAACTATATCATAATATAGCCTCATTTGATGATAACTTCAAAATGTCTAAATTTGAGACCTTCCCAAATATGAGGCCCCAAAGGCCTCCTACTCCAGGCCCCTGGAAGAGACCCTGATTTTCCATTATAAAAACCCCACCAATTGAAATGCAATGATCTATGAGTTCTAAGGAAATTGCTTAATTGATGGCATCCCCTTCTCTTAAACCCAACCTAAACCACCTTTACAGTTATACAATAGAGCATTCTGGAAATGTTTGAATAGTCAGCCACAATATTGCAAAATTAGCAAACAAGTTTGGTTCAGGTTGACAAATTTATTGACTTTGCCACAGACCTGAATAGAAAATTGCTTTTAGCCTCAGCTGACAAGAAAAAAAAAATCTAGGTTACAAAATTCTAGGCTGGCCATTATTTCGCTTAAGAAGACTGAAGATGGGTCCCTAATTCGCAATATACATTGGGGAAAAGAATCCCTATTCAATAAATGGTGCTAGGAAAATTAGATAGCCACATGTAAAAGATTGAAACAGGATCCATGCCTTTCACTACTCACAAAAATTAATTCAAGATGGATCACAGACTTAAAT